GTTATCTATAATATATCATTTATGGTATTTTGCCAGGGTTGCTAGAGCCAAGAGGTTGATTGTAGGAAGCTTTAGTTATTATTTTGAAGGGTTTTTTAAGACATTACAGTAGAATGAATGAATGAATGAATAATTTATTTCAACACGCGAACCATTGTAAACACGCGAGTTGTTTTCCATATGGGGCGTGCGCAAATTTTACAGAAAAAATTTAACAAGAAAACTAAATTACGCATTTAATAAAAACGACAATTTTTTTTAAAGTAGACATGTTTCGACATCTCATGATGCCATCTTCAGTATAAGTGAAATAATAAATAATACAAGGTTTATATAAAAGTAATATGATACATAAATTACAACAATGATATAAGATAAATTAATGGGGAGCTTCCGAACGGCATCATGTGATGTCGAAACATGTCTATTTTAAAAAAATTTGTCGTTTTTCATAAATGCGCAATATCAATAGTGCTTTTACTCAGTTACGGTAATACTAAATCAACAAAGTATAGTTCCTAAAACATTAAATTACATTCTATAGACTACAAACTTAGCGAAGTATTTACATTTAAATATTACGACATTATTTGGGAAAGTGAGCAGCGATTATTTTTAAATAGACATTAGAGAACGATTCTTTGAGTGCAATAGGTAATGAATGAGACTAAAATTTTATTCAAAATGTAAAATGACTTAACTCTTGGCGAACAATTTAAAAACGTCACATTTATGTATCGTAAACACGCATGATAATTCTTTGTCTTTTGTTTTACAAACCTTTTACTGGTCGACGGTTGAAACTTTCTGGTTTTGATATTTAGCGTACTGGAAGTTAAGTGTCGTATGAACAGATCGCCAATCTATTCACTAAGATTGCTATGCCAAACAGTTTAACAAAGAATGAAAGCGAAGACGTGTGTTAAATTGGACACCACAATCAACCGATGCAATCCAACACCATATCATATTTTCAACATCACATTCAACTAAATGTTATCGCTTAAAATGACAAATACAGTATGTTGTCTCTCTTGTGGTAATACAAAATGAAATTAAACAACTTCAGATAATTGTACAATAAAATTGATTACGTTTTAAAAATATTCCTAAAATTTGCCATAGTAAAAGCAACTGTGGCGTCACACAACCACTGTGAGCGCTCCGTTAATCAATAATTGGTGACCCCTCCTTGACCTTGCTAGATATGGTCTGAATGATCGCATTTATTAATTTATAGTGCTTATACATAAATCAATTTCATTTACAGATTTAAATTGAAAAATCTGAACACCACACAAAAGAAAATTCCCTCTTGATGAATTTATAATAACTGCTAAATGAATGAAACTCTGCAAACTCTAAAATGCCAATTGCGATTGCCCTGTTTTGATGCGATAAATGGGCATTCTTTAAACTGATTAACACCTATAAAATAATGTTGCTGAATACTTGCTGAAATTGATTACAACAATTTTAATAATCAATTCAGAATTGGATTTTTTCACTGCAAAACACGTCCATCTTAAAAGCGTAAAGGACTCTATTCTTCACTTGGCATTTAGCAAGTCTAATTTTTGCTGTGTTTAATTACCTGGAATTTATTAAATTAGATTTTATAACAGTAAATTTTTGGAGGAAGTTTCTTTTTGTGTGTTGTTTATATCAGTTAGTTAGTTGAGAGTACATCTCAAAAACATTTCTAAACACACAAAATATTTCTGTTTTATTGACAATAACTAAAATCATAAAGTTGTATCACAATCACTAGTTCGTAAATTGATTTTCAATAAATATAATTTAATTACAAAAAGAATTCATGATAATTTTTACAGGGAGCCTAAAGCTCTAGGGTAACCGTCACTTAATACTCAAACTTTCCCCAGTGGCCAGTTACGACATTAATAAGCAATAAAAAACTTTATCAAAATAAAAAATTGAAGCAGCTTACACAACCTTCACAAAAAAGAAGTTCCTGACCTGTTATTTAGACATACAGAAATTTAAGGAGTTTTTGGAAGAGGTTGTACTAAGTTGATTCAGTTTACCAGACCCTTATTGTGAAGATTTCTAACATTTTAGACTCCTGTACAAACGCAGTACTAGGAGTAAGTTCAGAAATTTTTATTATTTAGTTACACTTCATTACAAAACGTTTGCGAGAACTCTCGAGCAGGTGCAACCCCAGACCTTCGGTCTCGGGCTTGCACTGATCTGCTCTCGAGTACTCCCAAAGGTCTTCTCGGTTTGCATTAGCCTGTGCAAACACAGTTAACATCTTTTATTTCTTAATTAAAGTTGAGAATTTACATAACGAAATCAATATTATTTACTTTTTATTTATTTATTTATTCAACTTGCTATGAATACAACACATACATAACTAAATGAAAGGGAAACATACTACAGCTTTTGGAGGCCAACATGATGTCACAAACATTAAAAACAACACAATATTCCACTGGACAGTTGACGTGTCTTGTCACAAGATAGAAATATAGTTTTCCATGTTCTTGAACCGTCAATGTCATCATGTATGGTTTCTAAGGATAATTTATAACATACTCATAGCTTTTCCTTGAATTGACTAAGGCTGATCTTGTTGCCATACATTTAAATTGTTTAGTAATGCAGTCTTGAGTCTAGTGCACCTATTTAGAAACGACTTTTGGACTGTACTTGTTTTGTAACAACTAGTAACAAATGACAAATGGTTTGGAAAGCACATAACCGTGTTTTACATTGGCTTAAAGATTGGTTTGTAGCGGTAAAATGTCTTCGTATAATATAATTATATGTATTTAAATAGTTCATTTAGGGCCTGTTTATATGGAGCCGAGTTACCTGGCTAGGCGAGTTACTCGCTCCACCGGGTTTAAAAAAGTGATCTGTTTATATGGCACCGGATAACTCGGCTAGTACTTCCGTTCAATTTTCTTAAATGAAGTTTGGCTATGTTAAGTTCGAGTAAAGGCGCGAGATTTTATAAAGCCTCACAGTTTCGCAGCAAAAATGGAATAGGTGAATATAGAATTGAAAATTATGATATGTGTATGTTTTTGTATAATAATGCTGCAAGTAAAAGGCTTAGTACGCATGCGTACCAACAGAGTCAATTTTCTCGTCTCAGCCGAGTTACTCGGCAAATGCGTTTATATGGAAAAATTCATCCCGCCTAGCCGGGTAACTCGTTTACACAAACCGAGTTGCCCGGCAAGGCGAGTTACTCGGATGTATCATATAAACGATTCACCGGGAAATGCATTCATTCTATATAAGGGCCGAGTTACCCGGCTTGGCGAGCCATATAAACAGGCCCTTAGTTTTAGTTGAAACGAAATCTTTGCTCTATAATGATTTGGAATGGTCAGACTGAAAACGAGAGGTAGCAACTTCTAACCGTCTTGATAATAAAAGAAAGACTGGTTGTGTGCTAGAGTGAAAAGACAACAGTTGCTTGCTGGCCCTACTTTCTGTTTCATCTAAATCAAAAACTTGGGCAAACATTGATTTCGTAAAAAACATCAATTGTTGGACGGTTTCCAATAACATAAAAATTGAAATTGCTTTTTTCAAATGTACAAAATGTTGTACACGATAGACAGAGATGTTAACCAGAGTGAATGTAGAAAATTTATTTTAAGAACAAGAATAGGCTAGGAGGAAACATAATGAGAATGAAAGCCAGAACAGTGGAGAAAATAATGTCACTGTCTTGTCTAAAAGGGAGCTGGCATACAGAGGAGATGATGAATCCGTATCTTGTTTGAATCAAGACAACCATAGAAAGTTTCCAAAGTTATTTGGCAAAATCATGTTCCGTTTTTTGACAATTGCTTGCATGCCAAACTACTTGAGTAAGAACGTAGTGATAGCTACTGCAGGAGGTGTTTTCATCTTCATGTGTATCACCTGATCTCTGGAATTATTTGATTGTCTTTATTGATGAAGTTATTCATGGTCAGATTGATAGGAAAATCAGGGAATGCCAGTTTCATTGTTCCTAATGTGATTAATTTTTGAATAAATCACCCCAAAATCAGCTTATCTATACTAACCGTCTGATTAAAAGCGTGTTTGGAGCCTTTTTATATGTATATCGAAGCGTATACTATTTTAAAATAATTTGTTAAATTATCGTAAGATTAAGTATGGACATGTCGACGGTTTTCATATAAATACAGAAGTTGAATGGGAAAAAATATACATGTTGGGCATTCAACACGCGTTTGTATCTGGAAAATGTGGCTGTCATATACGTTATGGGTGACATTATTATAATAATGTTTTATTGCTAAAGGATCCACTTATAAAACAAAAGTTATTGGGGAGCTCAACCAATGCTAAGAGCTACTCTGATCTATAAATAAACTTAAACTACTAATATACAACAGTGGCTTTGTTTGATCATGCGGATGGATCAGTTAAAATTTCACCCAAAGACGCGTCTGATCAGGTGAAGCCAATTGCTTCGAAGAAAGTTTGTTCATTTGTTTAAGGGCCGAAATAGATCAGCATAGCAACAACAAAAAAAGAAGCATGGGATATTTTAAGAAATCAGTTCGCCAAAACTTCTATTTCACAGTTCATTCGACTACACCAGCAATATTAATCGCACCAGTTTAAAAGTGAAAACATACTCGACCATATCAGCGAATTGAAATTCCTCCACGATCAACTAAAAGAAATGGGATATAAAAACAACGATCGCCAATTGGCAATGACTTTACTTGCAAGTTTGCCAGGAGAATACAAGCCGCTGATCACAGCTTTCGATGCGATTGGAAAGGAATCTTAAATTTATCAAAAAGGTAAAGGACTGTTGCTTAATTTTGTAAAATAAAATGTTAGGTACAAAGAAAGATGAAGGGGCGCATGCTGCTCACTGATAATTCAGGAGAAAAGAAAAGAAAGAAGATTACAGTAGGAAAGAAAATGAACACCAGCATTCTTTTCAAGAAGTTTGTTGCTCATGTAAGAAAAGAGAACATTTTGCACGAGATTGTCCCAAAAGAAAGAACGATTTAAGTAGTAAATTCCACAATAAAGGAGAGAGGTCAACATATTGTGCCAAAGAAAATGAAAATGATAAAGAAAGCACTGATGAGGTAGCGTTACTCACAAAAAGAAATGAAAATAGATATGATTAGATAATCAATTATTGTGCGAATCAACATATGCAAACGTGACAATTTATCAGATTATGAAGAGTTATGAAAGCCAAAGAAAGTAAATCTTTGGGATAATTGTGTCATATTGTCTTAAGGAAAACAAACTCATCGTTTGACCGTTCATTTATATGGCTCACATTAACGCCCTAAAAAACGTACTCTATCTGCCCGAGCTGAAGAAAAATTTGCTGTCTGTTCAAGCTATGTCTAAATTTGCTGAAACTGTAATGTTTAAAAAAAACGAATACAAGATCTCCAAGAATTCTAGATTATTGGGAGTTTGTGAGTGTATGGAAAACTATATAAAGTCATCAAAAGAGAAAGCGCATGCTGCAAAGAACATCTGACTTTAGAATTATGGCATTAGAGGTTTGCACACTTAAGAGAAAACATTTATAAATTGGTAAATACAGGTAAAGTGGAAGGTATGGCCATTCTTTTCCAACAATACAGAGTTGCTAAGTTGAAGACTTGGGTGAGAAACATCACAACCTAGGAATGAGTATTAAATGAAACCGTCATTTACGTACAATGTCCATAACTCAAAGGAAATACTTGGAAGGAGTGCTAAAGAAATTTGGTATGGAAAATTGCAAGCTAGTTTCCATCCCATTGGAACTAGGTAAGAAATACGAAAAACGATCAAAAGGCGATGAACCATTCGATAAGAAAACATATTGAAAGAGCTATTGTTTTTTTTTTAACTTATCCTGCAAGAATTATCAGGAAATATTTATCAACTTTTGCTTACCTAAGTTTATGTCAAATCCTGGAGTTAAGCATCCAAATGGAGTAAAACGAGTACGACGTTATCTTGAAGGAACGTTAGAGTATACTCTTCCATGTTCCACTAACGATTCAAGTATAGTTTGTTAAAGTAGTAAACGAGAAGCAAGTGTAGCTAGATCAACAACTCAAGCAGAGTATATAGTAGAGTATAAGCACAGCCAGTCAAAAAGTAGTTAGGCAACGAAGACTACTTGGCAATGTTTTAAAAAAACAAAAAAAAAACAAGATTGTTTCACTACTTTACATGAAGACAACGAATGAATAATAGATAGTCAAGAAGTAGTTAGGCAACGAAGACTACTTGGCAATGTTCTGAAAAAACAAGATTGCTTTACTACTTTACGTGAAGTCAACGAATGAACAATACAATAAAGCTCACCAGAAATCTTATAAACAAATAATATGTTAAATCATTATGTGGGAGAACAAGTCAAAAATAACATCATTACTGTCAAGTATTGATGGGCATGCGCTCTAGCATGCGTAGTCCATTTGACTAATTGTTCATAGCCATGGCAATGACTAACTATATGTACTTGCACTACATTTGCGGCAATTAGATAACTTAGTCGCAAATTATGAAAGAAATAATCTGGGTATGCGCAGTAGTGACTTTAATGATACCACAACTTTTGCAAACCTTTGAATTTTTGTATATATATACAAAGCTGAAAACTTCAACTAGTAGATGTCAACTAGCAGTGGAAGTTGGGTTCGATTAGGTATGCAGTGGCTTAGGGGCCAAGACATCGGTCGCGACCGCACTCCACCTGCGTAACCAGAGCAAAGCCTAACGCAGGCGATCTCGCGGTGTGATGGGCTGAAGCTTGCTATTGCATCTCCCAAGTAGGATAGCGTGGAGGGGCCGAAACCTCCAACCGAAACGTTAACATGCAGCGTCCTAGTACCTTACGCTTAAGAAGGTATCGGGAAGCATGGACCGAAAACGGGGTTTTTTGCTTTCGAATTTTATCTTTTTCTTCTTTTAACAAGAGTTCTTCTCATAAAATAAACCAAGCAATGTTGACACTGTGCCTTTTTCTGACACTTATAATTTAGGACAACATTAAACATGTTTCATAAAATTTTTATTGGTTTATATTTTTCTGATTTAACTCTCTCATTTACTGTTTCTTAAGTATCACAAGCAAACCATCCATCGACTTTGTAGCAGACAGAATTATCTGGTTTCCTTAATTAATATGAGACGCTCTAGTGCTAAACTATCTCGGGTCTCCGGAAACATGGAAAAACGGGATTTTTGTTTCCAAAATTTGTCTTTTTCTTTACAAGAACTCTTCTCATAAAAGAAACTAGAACATCCAAGGATACTGCACATGTTCAAACAACTTCTGCCTTTTTCACTTATAATTTAAACCAACTCTAAGCATGTTTATACGTTTTTTACTCATTACCTTTTGCAATTTAACTTTCTCATAACTCTCTCGTGATGAACGAGAGCCTTCTTATGCAATATGACTCTTTCATCATGAACGAACGCATCCATGGGCTTCACGGAAAAAAGGGATTATGTACTTTGTTATAATAGTGTCTACAAAGATAACATTTAATAAGCCAAGCAATTTGTATCGTCTAAATTGAGCCTCGCTTTGAACCATTATGTTATAAAATTTCGAATCATTTTGGATACTAAATTTTTTTTTACCTTATAATATTTTCATGATTCAATCTAGAAAGTAACTTCTCTCCTCGAGTAATTTTGCGATTAAACAGCACACTTTTCGGAATCAAAGCAATTCTTTTGATCGCATAGAGACAGCCGTCCAATTCATTACGTACCTAAGCGTATATAAAGCATTTCTAAATCACGTACAAAATTTCCTTCACGTGACCAAATTACCATCTATTTAAACGATGTTGTATGTAATAAAAAGTTACCTTGACAACTGAAGCAAACCCTCCTTTTTTTAAGCATTTGCAACACCTCAAATTCATTTCGAACTCTTGCATTTCTCGCAGCGTAGCCGAAAGGAATAGGCATCAAATAAGGATACTCATCTCCATCATAACAGCTATTTTGATTTCTCCTTGATCTTTTTCAGCGTCAAGCTTATCTGAAGTGATGTTATTTGCTAAACCGTACGACATGGGATTTGGAGAGATAAAACGATGTCCAAGAAGCTGCTGTGCCGAGCATTGGTTACCGTTCTCCGGATATAGACATCTATACAAAGTATATGACATTAAAAAACAGTAGCTATAAATTCTTCGTCACTTTAATGCTTGTTTTTTCTTATGATCTTCATATTTTCAAGTGGAAGCCTTGAGTGGCAGTTTTCAAGCAAACCCAAAAATGTCCAAAAAGGTTTACTTGAATCATAATACCCTATTGGCAAAATTCAATAAAAATAGCAAATAATAAGTCCTTATACATATCTATTGAGCTAAACGAAAATTGTTAACATTTTCCCTACCTATGAATGAACGTGAACTAATCCTTCTACAATCTCACTGAGAATCCACCACATTCTCTGTTGGTGCTTGTACTATCCCTCCTCAATAGAATTTGTTAGATGTTAACAGACATTATGTCAAACAAAAAGACACTCTACTTTGTAATGAAACAAGGCAGATAAGTTAATCATAGTTTTTTATGTTACTTATTGTAGCTAACTGGGTGTTTTTTCTACTGCTATGCTTACATATCTTTAGTACAGAATGTCTGGTTATTTGACTGATTTGGAAGAACCAACAATGTTTGTTAAGTTGTGCTTGAAGTGTGCTTTGAGAAGTTTTTCATAAAATTAAATTGCAGCTCAACAATAGATAAATTTGTTTTGCAGAGTTGATTACATAAAATTTGATTTTTAAGTTTATACAAAAGAACCTCTTGGAAAAAAACACCCGGAAGCCACTTTTAATGAGAAGTTGTGTTAAGATGAGATGTTAAGATGAGTTGTGTCTAAGTTTTCTTATCTGACAACATACCTGAAGTAATCCATCAATTCTATATCATTTTCATCCATTTCCAATTCTCATTCTGTGTATACATCTCTCTGGTTCAATATACCACAAACATTGTTATCAGAAAAGTGATTGTGCAGTTCCTATGTCCAGTGCTTTCAGGAAGAAAAAAGATCATCAGGTACACCGAAATCAAGGTGTCTCTGAAATGCCGTATGCAATGTGTGTTCCATTGTTGCTTTACCTTGTTAAGTTTTGACTGTAAAACTCTGAATAAACAAACCAAATACATTCCATCTGCAAGTGATTTCCCAATGCAAGCTTTCTTTCATGAACAAGATGTTTAAAATGATTGATAACCCATCCAGAAAATCCTTTTCTACAGTGAGACCACCAGTTCTCAATCCATTGATTAGCATGAGATGATGAATAACGATGCCCTTGCTCACCACCAACAAGGCTACATTGCATCGCTGCAAAATAGTATTCTCTGTTCCTCAATCTGCCTGTACTGTACTAGGATGGAGCGAAACTTAAATTCTTCCACTGACCGTAAAAAAATTAGCTGGAATAACTGGATTGTTATTGCTTTTGCAAACTTTTAGCCATATTATTCGTCAAGAAAACCCGTCAACACAACCGTGAATTGGTAAACCGTAGGGCTTCAGCTTATCGTATCCATCTACATGCCAGGTAGCATTTGGTCCATCAGATACGTAAGTTCGCGGAAGCAACTTTCTAGCTTTACGGAGTGCCGATGCTTCTGGGTCGACGTCTTTTAGGATTCTCATAACTGTGTCTCGAGGAACTTTATATTGTAACTTGTTCTTAACTTATTCCACATACCCCTGTAACCAAGAGTCGATGATGATCCCTTAATTTCGTTCTCAATGATTTGCCGAACGGTGTCTTCTGAGACAGCTTGGTCCACTTTTTGCAAGCCGTATGACTGAGCCTTCGCTTTAATGTTCAGATGGACATTGAAATATCATGGTATTGGAACAAGAACAAAGTTATTGTGTTCCAATCATAACCACATATTCCCTTCTTATGCAACACCAAAAAGGTATCCTGTCATTATAGATGCTTTTGAAGAATATAGGTAACTGCATGTAGTTCACTGATTTATTAAACTGCTGTACTAGGTATGAATTGCTGGGAAAGTTGCAGTAGTCTAAGAGTTACAGTAGTCTAGTAGAAAGTTTTATAGCCTAAGAATCTCATCTTAAGAGATGTATTTAATTGGAGAAAATCAAAATGCTAAAGTTTATGATGGGAAAGAATTTTTCCTCAAGTATTATTATATTGCACTGTATTTTGTTTATGTCATTTGTTTAAGAGTGCATAATTGCTTTCTTTGTGTCATTGCTTTTTTCAGAATTTACAGACATAAACTAAACATGTTGAGCTGTGTTATTCCTGAGCTTGATGAAGGAAATATCTGTCCTGCTTGTACCAAAGTGAGTATATTCGTATTACTTGTTTAACAAGAAAAATTAGGAAAAAGAACATTAGCAATGCTATCTCAAACACCTTTTTGACTGCATCATTGAACTCAAATACATTGCATGATTTTATCCTTCATCATATTATTATTTGATTTTTTTCATTTTCTACCACATAGTTTTTATTTTCAATAAATTTTTGCCATGGGCTTTAGGAAATAAAACTCTTGTATACTTTTTTGTTTGTTACATATTGATATTTATAAGAATGTCATGGTTTTCTTGCTGGGAATGCTGTTTGATCAATGAGTCACTACAAAGCTCTTGATGAAACAGCAATCTATGGACGAGGCTGTTGACATGAATTTCCTAAAAAATTCTTAAATTTGAAACATGGAGATAGGTCTGTTACACACATTTTTGTCTATTTTTACCTAAATGTTCTTGGTTTGAAAGAGGTGGTTAGGATGCATGCATTTGATGGTGTAAATTTATTTTTTTCAGTTGGTTTGCTACTTTCAATGCTTTGTGCAAGTGCTGAAGCTTTTTGCATACATGTGGTTGCATTATTTAAAAAAATATTCTACATATTTTATAGATTGAGCTATGCAGTTTATGTTCTCCAAAATTAGAGAAAGATAATGCTGATAATCCTGCACTCAAAATAAACATATTGTATGATGTTGCATGCATGTTGGTGAAACACTTACAGGTAATATTCAATTGACAATAGTTGCTTTGTTAACTGTTTCCTTAGTCAATAACTTTCCCTCAACACTTTTTTTCTTTGAAAAGGTAGTCTTTCACATGTTTTTCTTTATTTTGTTTGTTACAAAAAGAATTTGGAGGATCCGATTGTTGACATTTTTCAATTTTCAATTCCAATTTTTCACTGCTATGGGCATGTTGGACGATGCCAAGTTAGTTGTTGTTTTTATTTTTCATACGTATAAACAGATATTGATACCTGGGTTTTTGTGCTATCATAACTAATGGTATTGTAGATGATAAATGATGAAAATTCAATAATTGTTTACTAAATCTTTCTTGTAAAAGGTTAAATTTAGTCCCCGACGGGAAGAAGGATTTGGCCTAACTGACGGTGAGATGTTGGAGAGATTGTGGGCTTACATTCGCAAATTTAGCAGAATGACTAAAGAAATACGTCCAAGTCAGAGAGTTGATGTACTCAGTGATGCTCTTTTACATTATGGAAAGAAAACGAAGATTAATTTAGGTATAGCTAGTTTTTCTTTCTTTGTTTGAACATATACATAGCTAACATGTCATCATATTATGTAATAGCAAATATGAATTAAATTTTGTTTTTTGTGGCAATTTGCTGATGGCAAGGATGAAGCGAGCTGTTGACGTGAAAGAAACTGCAAAATTAGATATTGAAAAGTTATGCAGGTGCTTTCCGTGTGAGTATATGTTTGTATTTGCTGTGTGATTATATTTGACTCCGATTTTGGATATGAACTATTTACGACTCACATGAAAGCAGTAAATTTTCTTTTTTTTTCATTATCTAAAGCTCACAGGATTTCAATAGATGATATTCGTGAGTAGATGAAGGACGAATCGACTTTTTTTGATCGTGAAGTTGAGACTGGTTAGTAAATGAGAAATAATGGCTTGTAGCTAAGGAACAGATTTGACACATAATTATTGCTCATTATGTGGAAATGTTTTACGCACAGAAAACTTTTTTAACAAATATACGTAAATCTTCAACAACTTACAGAAGAAGAAGATTGGAAATGCAAGTACGTTATATACCTGGACTTGTACGCTGATCTTTACCATCGATGGAATGGTTGCACTGATCCAAGTGAACTGACTGTTCGATTTAATCAGATGAAAAAGTATGTTCAAAAAGTGCAACTTGTTTCTAGAGATATTAAAGTCTTAAACAGTGTGAATTTAGAAAAATGAACTGGGAAATTTTGAAGCTATGAATGTACGTCGTAACATTGTAAATAATAAGTTGGAATATGGAATAAAAAATTATTTCTTGTTTTTATACGTACGTACAAGTAGAGATGTATATGCAACTTGCAGGTGCTTGTCAGACCGTGCCTTATATTTGCAATGATTTGGTATTTACTGTTTAGAATTGATGAGCAGTTTGAAGATCATGGAAAGGGAAAACTCAATTTCTGCAAGCTGGCAAAATACTGACTCAGAGTACGAAAATGCATAACGCGAGGTTGCGTCTAGGAAAGAAAACGTGTTTTGTCTCGAATGAGGAAAAATGTTGTTGAAATATGGTTTCTCCTAAAGCTTAAGTCTAAATACTGTGGTAACTATACGTATCTCATAAATGTTCCATACAACTTGCAATGTTTGTAAATTACTTTACATGTTCCCTTCTTTGTAATGTTCTCTGTATGTTTGTAAATGTTTCTGTATGTTTGTTCTGTTTTTTAGATGGTCAAGCGTTGGCATCCAGACTTTCGAAGCAAATTACTTGAGTAACAAAGGATGTCAATAAAGATATCGCAGCTTATAACGAGGAAAAGAATCACATTTTAATCATTCACATACCGCGTTAACATTTGATGCCGTCAAAGATCCTGACAATGATTTTTGGTGTGAATATCTAGCTGCACCTACTGATGAAGATTTTTCAGTTTCATTTACTTTTAAACGGAAGGCTATAGATTTATGCCATTTGCTTGACCGATCCCAGGAAGAGCAAATCCTGTTAAAGACAGAAATGGAAAATACGTGGAGTCACTACTTTCAGCAGCACGGCAAGATTACTGACTTTTGAATAGTTTTATTAACCATGAAAAGTACTTTATGTTGAATATGTTGAAGCGATATTTTTACACACGACTATGAAAGCACCAGCGATAACACTGGTCAACAAAAAGAAACTTTTTAAAAGGTGTCTGATATTTTTTGACAGATTTACTATATTTTTGCTATGCTAAATCTAGAAATAACATTCATTTTGCTCTCGGAGGTCAAATTTTTTTGCAAATTTGAATTTAAAATTATGCGACTTTAGTTATATTTTTTTAAAACAATGTTTTCAAGATGTTTCAAAACTAAATGTCAGTTTTTATGATAAAATTGCAGTATTCCAAGAAAGAATCATGTACACTTCATGTACAGTACATGTAACTAAAAATGAAAACTTAATGTTTGCATTATTACGGTCTAAATTTTCGTTTTTTTTGATTGTCGCGAATGTTTTGGTGCTTGCACATCTCTTTTTAAATTCCAACAGTAGTCTGCCATCATCACCATGTCCCACCTTTCTCTTAAGTCATGGTGAAAGCGTTCTCCTTGCTCATCGCTTAAAGAGCCAAGATTTTCGGGATCAATACCAGCTTTTAATTTTTCAGTTGACAAATTGGGGAAGGTTTTACAACGAAACTGAAAACACCGTCCATCTTTATCCAAAGTTTTAGTGAATTGCCTTATCAAACCGAACTTTATGTGCAGTGGAGGAAATAAAATACGTCCCCTGTCAACTAGAGGCTTGTTTATCACATTTTTTGCTCTACAACTAGCAAGCTCTTCACGTACTGGCCATTCTTTTTTCACGTAATGATGAGTACGATCCCTACTATCCCAGAGGCATAAAAAGTATGGGTATTTGGCAAGTCCAGACTGTTGACCAAGCAAGAAGTTGACCATTTTAAAGTCAACGCAAATCAGCCATTTATGTTGGTCATAAGAAATTTTTTCTAGGACGTACTTAATTGCTTCATGCTGTTCTTTTAATGTTGTCGAATGTGCCAATGGCACAGATGCAAATTGATTTCCATTGTGTAACAACACACATTTCAAGGACCTTTTGCTGCTGTCGATAAAAAGTCGCCAGTCCTCTGATTTGTATTCAGGTACGCCGAGATGTTTCAGTAGCTCTACTATGTCATTGCGATAGACTAATTCTTTTTCTTGAGCAAAATATCTTAAAAATTCCTGGTGCCTGGTACGGAAGAAACTTACCTTAACTTTACCATTTAGCATGTTCTTGTCCTTTAAACGAGATGCAAGAAGTTCGGCAGAGTCTTTTGGCAAATTTAAATCGCGAACAAGATCGTTTAGTTCGTTTTGGGAAACAATTTTGCCATCGGGAAAACAATTTAGTCATGTGGAAAGGATGCATCAACGGTAGTGGCAATGCTTTGAGTTTCATCCTGGCTACTACTGCTTTCTTCAATACTTGTATCTTCAAATACAAGTACGGGAATTTCTTCACTATAAGGAGTAGGGCGCATAGCTGACGGTAGATTGGGATACTCCAGTGTTGTGCGATTTTTTCTGTTAATTCCCATGACATTGATAGCACAAAAGTAGCAATCGGTTGCATGATTTAAGGCTCTCGCCAAATCATGGGGATGCCAAAGTTCATGGACTTTTGCGTGCCATCTTTTGCAAACCATGTGAGGTGCCCAACTTTTGTCTTGATCGCCGAGCTTCATGCCAAAATATGCATAGTAAACGCGCTTGATAAAGGTGGTGACAGTATTGCGATTTGGTGCAAGTGTGTATTCACCACAAACATAGCAAAAAACATCTGGCTTATTTTTCTTATTTCTACTTTTTATTATTTTTTACGTACATTAATATGTTGGTGTGTTTTAACAAGTTTTACCATTGAATTTCAGTATGGGCTAAATAAAGCCTTATTTTATCTTTAAATATCCCATAATAATCGCAAAACCTAAACTCCCTAATTGAAATTCAATCAAAAATTGCTTATTCAAATGCTTTCTTCTTTGTATTGCTAGTGCTAAAAAATTTAAATTTGTTCAGATAATAGAACTTTAAAAGGTAAATGGTTAGTGCTTCTGTTGTACCTTTCTCGGGTATTTAAAAGTTAAAAATAGAAAATTAACGATAGTTTAAAATCTCGACCTGACCCAGCAAAATAGTGTTATTTTGGACTCAGCACATCAAAATTATCCAAAATCAGTTTACAAAACTGAGACACCAAATTTGCTGTTGACCAGTGTAATGTATAACAGAGTTGTGCAGTCACTTCAAGCTCTTGAAGATCCTTTAATTAGAAAATCAATTTACGTAAAGGGCACTTGAAAAGTTGTTAAGAAATCATGTGTAATAGCCTTCTAACGTACGTACGCTGGATAATAAAATTTATGAAAAAGTGGAGGTTTTTTAATAAACACTTTTGTTCATAACAACTGTTATGTTAGCTAAATAGCTAATGTAGTTTATAGCGTTGCATGAAAATTAACTTTGATATTTTATTTATAACTCCTCAATTTCTTTCTTAACTTGACATATTTCATTTCTAGTTGTAACTAAAAGCATCTTTTATTTTAACTATAGACAAAATTGAAGTATAATTGTTTCCTGTATAAGAATTTTATTTTTGAATAGAAAATCTTATTCAGTAAACCTATTCAAAACAGCGCTAGTTTCGTCAATAGTATGTTTAGATAACATTGAGTCATAAGAGTAAATTAGTATGATACATTATCAAGTCACCTCAAATTTTTACAATATCCACTACAGCTTTCAGGTACTTCGGTAGACAACAAGGTTAGTCACTTTCAAAGTCTGCAACGTCTTGAACTCCACTCGCACAATTATAAATTTTTCAGAGTTATTTCGGAGACAACGCTCAGTTTTCGTATACAATATATGCATTAAATAAAATATCATAGTTTCACTGTCACATAGCTTTCACAACAAAAGAACGACTTGGAATTTGGCGTTAGACAAACAAACCTCAGGGAATAAAACGTTATACATGTAGTTGATGTTCATTGAATTTGTTTCATCAAAGGATTGAAAAATATCTGTGACTATTTCTTTGAGTACATTCAACAGATCTTTGCCTATATATACAAAAATGAAGAGTTAAGACACTAACAGAGAATATGTTTTCATTCTTGAGTTCGAGTTAAAGGACACGCCATGTAGAGATCTGTGAGTTCACTCTGAGCTTGATTTCGCCCACGGATCATTTGCTTAAATAACCTGTGGCGTTAACTTGGTATGGCACCGTTGACGATTTTTGTTAAATGTGTCTAAAATTTAATGTTAAAATATTATAGGTATGTTTATCTGTAACTGATATTAAATAATTTAAATTCTAGCAGAACATTTAATCCTCTGAATGAGCGATTTCCCTTTATATTTATGTCAAATGTTTTCGCAGATCTGTCAAAGAAAAATTAAAAGAAATGAAATATATTTATTCGTGTGTGTTCAAGAAACTCACATTTTAGAAATAAAGCATTCAAGAGCACGAATAACGTATTAATAACTGTTATGAATACGTATGCAAATAAATCGGTGATGCGCAAAAATGAACAGACTAACAGTTCGTAGTTTAGAAAAAGTGGATGTATAATTTACCCATGAGTAAAGTAAGATACATTGCATCTGCAATCAAATTTTCCTTTCGGCTTTGTCGTAATGCCAACGCAATCCCAATGGTACCATTGTTGACAAACATCACATAACACCCAATCCACCATTCCATTATCTTTGGAAGATGGTTCTTGACAAAGAAAGGCTTTACATTTGTCATAGGATGTCAAATGACCAGCTCTCTTCTTTGCAAAAGACACACTTTTTCTGTCACTGGACTTTGCCTCTTTTCTTTTTCTTTTGTTGTTACTTCTTCCCTTCCTGCGTTCTTTATCAACTTTTTTAGGCACGGCGTTTTCTGTTACAAGGTGTCCGTCACCTTCATTAACTGTTCCGTCTCGTCCACAAAATACATTCCCAGAATTACCATCATCATCACCATCATTATTTACAACATCTTCTCTATCATCGGGAACATCACCATTTTCACAACCATTATCAACATTATTAGTTCTTTGTCCATGACCAACATATGCTTTAAAGGTACTTGCAAAAAGTTGGTTGAACCCTTACAAAAATAAACTATAGTTTTGAAAACAGCAGTATTTTGGAACAAAAACTGTAGTTCCGAAAACTATAGTTGTATGAATAAACTATAGTTTTCGGGACTATAGTTTTGGGGATACTAGAGTTATAGAAACTAAAGTTTTGGGAGAACTGTAGTTTTACAATTGATAGTTTTGTTCCCAAACACTACAGTTTTCAAAACTATATTTTTCCGTGAACTACAGTTTTCCAATGAATCTATGTTATAATGTAGTTCATTAACTAAGGATTTCATAAACACAATTTAGCAAATTCCCTGAACAGGTTCTAGTAGTACACATTATTTTATACAGAATTCAATAAAACATGAATCCACGATACAATTCCGGGAGTATCGTTACATGTTTGTAAATGTAGATCGTCCAGATTGGTATAGTCCAGAGAAGGACTGTTTTTGTTGTTGTTGACTGACGACGTTTCGACAACCTTAGCGGTAGTCATCTTCAGAGTCAAATGAGTAGTAAACGTCAGGTTAGCCGTATTTGTTATCTGGTTCTTACGTCATTGTATTGTGTGTACAGGAAATGTGTATTGTCATTGTGAATTAGTGTGAAGTGTAATGTTTTTAGTTAATCGTTTGTTTGTATTGTGAATAAGTCGTTTGTAAGGTGCCGGTAATTGCTGTGATCTGTTCAGGGGGGTTTGTTCCAAGTTGGTATATCAACTTTCTAATGTAAGCCGTTGTCTATAGTCAGTACTGTAAGTAATGCATTTTGCCGAGTCCCAGTCAATGTTGTGCTTAGTGATTCGGTGATGTTCGGCAATGTGATTAGTTTTGTCTTGTTTCTTAGTAGCTCGTTTGTGTTCAGTAAGTCTTATGTTTAATTTCCCCGATATATGAGGCGTGAAAGTCGGAGCAGTTTATTTTGTAAACTGCACCTTGTCGTTCGTTGGGTTGTTCTATGTCCTTTCTGTTCGTTAGTACTTGTCGTAACTTTGTGATTGGTTTATATGCGACACGTATGTTGTATGGTCGTATGATACGCGAGATAGTCTCAGACGTACCTTTGATGCAAGGTATCGTTGCTGTTGTCACTGAATTGTTCGTTTCGTTGGGTTTGTATGTGTTGCGTTTGATAAAGTCAGAGTTATAGTTGTTTTTGTCAAAAACACGTTTGAGATAGTTGTTTTCGTTGTGTAGAGCGTCCGGTGAATCACATATGATTTGTGCACGTCTTGTTGATGTTCTGATTGTGGTGGCTTTGTGTGATGTAGGGTTGTAAGATGATTCGTCTAGTAGTCGGTCAGTATGTGTTGGCTTGCGATAAACTGTTGTTCGTAGTTTTTGATTGTCATGTTTTACCAAACAGTCGAGAAAAGGAAGAGTTCCGTTTTCTTCGACATCTTTGGTAAATTGTATGTAGCTGTTGTGTTTGTTGATGTGTGTGAAAAAGTCATCAATCTAGTCTGCATTTAGTGCTGTGATTGTGTCATCTACGTAGCGAAACCAAAAAGGTAGTGCATGTTTGTAAGTCGTGAGCGCCCGTTGCTCTATAGATTGCATTACAATTTCAGCAACTACAACAGAAACGGGCGAGCCCATTGCTGTTCCATGTAATTGTTTGTAGTGTGTACCTTTGTACTGGAAGTAATTTTGTAATAGTGCATGTTTGTAAGTCGTTAGCGCCCGTTCCTCTATAGATTGTATTACAATTTTAGCAACTACAACAGAAACGGGTGAGCCCATTGCTGTTCCATGTAATTTTTTGTAGTGTGTACCTTTGTACTGGAAGTAAGTCGAGGTGAGGCAGAGCTCCAGTAGCTCCATAATGTCTTCTGTCATTAATGGCAGTACGTCAGTGGTGTTTGTAATGAAGATTTTTGTACAAGTAAGTGCCAGATTAAGTGGAATACTGGTGAACAGTGATTTCACATCAAAAGACACTAGTATATAGTTGTCCGGTATTTGTATAGTGCTCAGTTTTTTAATGAAAGTCTCAGTGGATTGCAGCTTGTGTTTTGATTTGTTTGTAAGTGGTTGAAGTATGTCAGTCAAGTACTTCGAGAGTTCGTAAGTAGGCGAACCACAGAATGATACAATTGGTCGCATGGGTATTTGTGGTTTGTGAAGTTTTGGTAGTCCGTATAGTCTGGGTGGTCGTGGTACTGAACATCTGAGTCGATAGTAAATACGTTCAGATATAATGTTAGATTTTCTCATAGAAGATCTTGCTGTTAAGTTTGCGTACTAGTGATGGTGTTGGGTCTCATTTGAGTTGTTCGTACGTTTGTCTGTCGTTAACAAGGGTGCCCATTTTGTTAAAGTAATCATTCCTGTCCATGACCACAGTCACACGTCCTTTGTCTGCTGGTAAAATGACGATGTTGTTGTTGTGTTTTAGTCGTTTGAGTGTTTGTTGTTCGTTCTTTGTCAAGTTGTTGTCACGTATAGAGGACGATTGTAAAGTAGAGGCTATCCTGCTTCTGATCTCGTCTTTGGTTGTCTCTGACAAGTCTCTTTGATACGCTATTTCACATTTCCTGTACACATTTCCTGTACACACAATACAATGACGTAAGAACCAGATAACAAATACGGCTAAACTGACGTTTACTCCTCATTTGACTCTGAAGATGACTACCGCTAAGGTTGTCGAAACGTCGTCAGTCAAAACAACAACAAAAACAGTCCTTCTCAGGACTATACCAACCTGGACGATTTACATTTACAAACATGAAGTTCTTAAATCTAGAAATTTAAAACAATATATCATAACCTTCTAAAGGTTGATGACACTACGTAATATTGAGTTGTTGCTTTTCACCCAAATACTAAATTTCAAATCCAAAATATACTGAATAGAACAAGCAATTTACAAATTTCTCCATTTTGGAAGACAAAACTGAAAAGCAGAGAAAGCATTGATTTGAAAATACAAATGAAGTAAATTTTCCTCAAGCTCACCATTGCCATTGTCAATTTGCTCATTTAGTCTTTTGATCTGATTTTCCAGCATTTCTACCCTCTCTTTGAGTTCCAAGGCTTCTTTTTTATACATGCATTTATCATTGCAAAGTGCACTACCTTCATCTGACTGACTCTCCTAAATAATCAACAAGAACTTAGGCAATATTTAACAATATTTTCCTTTTAGTACCAACTATTAAGGTGTACTTTACTAACAACAAGTACATTATATTATAATGATAAATCTCAATTTTTTAATTTCATAAGCCCCACTGATTGAAAATTCTTTTGTATGATTTCCCTATACAAGTCTTACACTGTACAATGTTTGCATTTTAAAAGATTTTTCCCTTACAAACAAGAAATAAATTTCAAATTAACAGCATTTTATGATTAACGGGAACATGTCATACAGTATGAACTTTTTTAGCATTTAACCAAACAACATCCAAGTTTTATTCTGAAAAATGACCTTAATTCCCTAGCATTCCTCATTAAAAATAAAATTGCATAATTTAAAGATAAGAATAATTATTATCATTGTGTATAGTACATACCTTGGTTAATTACTCTTTTATAAGTGAAGCAAGGCTTGCTGAGCAGCAAGCCTCTGTTTTCTTTGACCTGGATGCCTTTAGCTTTTTAGGAATACTGTGCTCCTGCTGGTAACAAGAACAACAATACAAAATTTTATACATGTTGTTTGAAAAGTTTGTTATTAGCTACTACTTCTCATTTAAATTCTTAGGCTCATAGCCTTGTTCAGCAATGTAGACCTTCCAACATAGAATTAGTAGATAATAACATTTGAATCATGAATACCATATGGAGTACTTAACAAATTTCCATGAATGCATCATCACATTAGTGACATGAGTGCTAACTACAGATGATGGCAGCAATAATTGAGAAACATGCAGTAAACACCATTTAAACAAAATGTGGTCAATGTAATATTTCGGGCAACTCACCACATCATCTGATTCACTCTCACTTTTAATTGTAAACTTTGCTTTGTGAATTTTTTTGCGACACCCTTTGCCAGTATTTATAGAGAAAGTTTCTTCTTTTCTCATTGTCTTGAGCAAATAATCTTTACTATCTGTTTATACAAAACAATGGATGACTATTTAACAACTATTAAAAAATAATAATTTTCAATTGGAAGCAGTAGCATGCCTGAAATTATAAGGAAACGACCTTATGCAAAGTTTGGCCTAATGTATTACTACATGTATTTAAGAGCAAACAAGTTAAAATCTGAGAAATAGACACATCCTTATTGTCAGTATTGTAATTGAACTATTGCTATGTAGAAGAAAGAACAACATTCGAGCAAAGGCTTTTTATCAGAAAGTATTTCCCTCCTAAAAAAGCAGTAAGTTGAATTGATAACAGCAACCTTCATATAAACTATGACTATTTCTACAAACAAGACAGAGAAATAAACAAATAGATTTTCACACAGAAATTTACAGATATATAGCAAAGCAAAGATGTTTCATGAAGAAATGATAACAAAGAGAAAGAGCTAGATGCACTAGCAATTAGCTTTTTGGCTGAATTATACAAGCTTTTAGAAACTTGACAAAAAATTCTACAACACACTAAAAGTACTAACCTGAAACCTCTATTATCTCTGCAGGAAATTTCTTCGACTTGCCGTTTCCCTTTGTTTTTCCATCGCCCCACATGACTAACGTTTTGAATCCTTAAAGTTCATCTTTGTCTTTCGACATATTTTCATCCTAAAAAATGATGTTAGAATATGGAATGATATCCCATGTATTTTCGTTGTAAAAATTCACCAATGCAAACGCCGTATTTTCGAATATTATCGCTGAAAAAGTTTTTTCAACTCTTAACGTATCTTTGCAACAAGCAACATGTTAATCAGATTGAAGATCATGGAATCGGGTAAAGATTAAGGATTACAAAATAACAGTCCCAGTCTCCCAACGCTCTCGTCTAAATCTAAACAGAATAGTTTGAAACAATATTGAAACAAAGCAAACGAAAGATTTTTGTTTTTTATAAGTTGAGGTAAGCCTGGTGTTTTCCGGGTTTCAAAAACCCACGTTAAGCATTCATTAAACTACAGTGAAGTAAACATTAAAAATGGCTTATAAAAATACGGTCGAATTATGCGAGAAATACGAAGCAGTTATGGTTCTCAGTGGAGTGGGAGATGCTCTAGGTTATAAGAATGGTTTGTGGGAATTCTGTTACAGTGGTACTCAAATTCATGAAGAACTAGAAAAACTCGGAGGACTTAATAAAATTGACATTAAAGGATGGAGGGTTAGTGACGACACTGTACTACACATTGCTACAGCAGAAGCGTTGGTTTCTGAATGGGCAACAACGGGAGAGTTATTGAGCATTATGGCTACAAAGTACAAGAAGACATGTGCTGAGGATATGTGGGAAAGAGCTCCTGGTCAGACCACAACAAAGGCATGTTTTATGTTACGACCTCTTGAGGAAAAAGGTTACATTATACCATTTAATGAACGAGGTGGAGGATGTGGTGCAGCTATGAGATCCATGTGTATAGGTTTGATGTTTCCTTGTGAAGATCAAATTGAAATGTTAATTGAAATTGCTGTTGAAAGTGGAAGGATGACTCATAATCACCCTACAGGTATTCACCTTTCATAATAAAGCAACGATTTCAGATCATGTATCAATTATCAAGTCACTAATGTCTAGTGTTTTGTCTATCACCAAGTGTTGCTTTGTATACAGTTTGCCAGGTTTTCCTGTTATCTGCATTTCTTTTCATTTTAACACACCTTATAGTAATTTAGCTTTTCAATCCTTTTGCTTATTTTAGATGTTTTACCTTCAACTCTTCCTTTGATTACTTACTTGAACAAGCCATTACCATGAATGTTTCGTATCCTTTTGTCTAATATCAATTTATCAATGAAATAAAAGATGTTGACCTTAGGTTTGCATAAGTCTATCATTTTCTAGAACCACGTCTCAAATGCCTCCATCCTTCTAACATTCTCACATTTTCCACATTTCCAAATTTCTGTCTTCTAAAAGCTATTTGAATTGCCATTTCTGTTTTTCTTTTATATCTTCACTACTACAGCCTTTGAATCCATGATCCATGTCAAAATGCCGCTATTATGTAATTAGGGTCATCATAATGTAAGTGACATGAAATTAGCAATCTTTAAAGATAGTGATTTTATCTTTAGGTTATCTTGGGGCTGTTACTGCAGCTTTATTTACAGCCTATGCTATACAGAAGATACCTCCAAAAAGTTGGGGTGCAGGACTTTTAGGTGTTTTACCCAAAGTTTGGGAATACATTGAGAAGGTTGGTCGTGATGTAGAAGAAAACAAGAAATCTTGGGGCTACTTTAAAAACAGTTGGGAGTCATATCTTGAAGTACGGGGATTAACAAATGGAACCAGTGAACCAAAGTTTCCAGTGATGTATAACATACCTGAACGTGATGCTTTTTATAAATCTGTGAGTTATGCAGGTTGGGGTGGGTCCAGTGGTCATGATGCACCAATGATTGCTTACGATGCTTTGATGATGGCAAAAGATTCATGGTTTCAATTGTGTTCTTGTTCTATGTTTCATGGTGGAGATAGTGACAGTACAGGAATATTGGCTGCAGCATGGTGGGGTGGTATGTTTGGTATGATAGGTGTACCCCCTGGAAATTATAAGAACTTAGAATATGGTCATAGGCTTATGGAGCTTGGTAAAAAACTACTGAATGTATCAAAGAATATGAAAAACTAACAGGACAGTATTTATTCAACAAAATTTATGTCATAAAATTCTGTCATCCCAAAACAAACAAACAAACAAACAACATTTGTATACCGGCCAGTATTAATCCCCGCCAGGGGGGTTGACCGGTCCATGAACTTTTCTACGCCAAACGTCTCTATCTCTCGCCATATCTCTCGTTATACCCATCGCCTTCATATCACTGTTCACAGCATCCATCCATCTCTTTCTCGGTCTACCTCGTTTGCGGACTCCATCAACATTCATATGCAACGTTCTACGAATTTCAGCACTTTCTTCCCTCCTTTCCACATGCCCAAACCACCTCAAACGCTGGCGCCTTACCCAATTCTCGATACACTCAACACCAACTCTTTCTCTAATCTCTTCACTTCGAATCCTATCCATCAACGTGGATCATACAACAAAAATTACTACTTGGTTATAACATAAAAACAATTTTCTTTAGAAATAAAGTCTAAAGGAAAATGTCAGATTCAGGGCAGCTATAAGTTCTAGTTAGGATGATTCCTGGATGTAGAGCAAGTTTTTTGACTAGATATCTGTGAAACTATGTATAGAAAAGGACCATTGCATCTTTAGGTTCATTTTACCTCACAAAATGTAAACTGCAAACGTTTTGTTCAGTACCAAAAATTCCTTTTCAGGGAGAGGGGAGTTGACTTAAAAATAGGTTTAACATAATTTGGAAGGCACAATTTTCTTTGAAACACGTAGCTACTAAAGTATAACTCTAAAGCTTTGTTATATTCCCGAGTTTCATAATACATCACACCTAGATTTTTTAAAAGATTTAGCGACATCAACATGACTAGTTCCTAACGTTTTTTTGCGAATTTCCAGAGCTTTTTTGTAAAATTCTATTGCTTTGTCGTAGTTTCCAGTTTTATCAAACACCAAAGCAAGATTGTGTAAAGACGCAGCAACACCAACATGATTTGGACCTAACAATTGTTTTTGAATTTCCAGAGCTTTTTCGTAAAACTCTATAGCTTTGTCGTAGTTTCCAGTTTCATATAACACCAAATCAAAGTTGTTTAAAGACGCAGCGACATCAACATGATTTGGACCTAACGATTGTTTTCGAATTTCCAGAGCTTTTTCGTAAAACTCTTTAGCTTTGTCGTAGTTTCCAGTTTTATCATACACCGAACCAAGATTATTTAAAGACGTAGCGACATCAACATGACTTGGACCTAACGATTGTTTTCGAATTTCCAGAGCTTTTTCGTAAAAATCTATAGCTTTGAAGTAGTTTTCAGTTTCAGAATACACCGCAGCAAGATTGTCAAAACACTCAGCGACATCAACATGATTTGGACCTAACGATTGTTTTTTTATTTCAAGAGCTTTTTCATGAAACTCTACAGCTTTGTCGTAGTTTTCAGTTTGAGTATACACCTCAGCAAGATTGTATAAACACTCAGCGACATCAACATGATTTGGGCCTAGCGATTGTTTTCGAAATTCCAGAGCTTTTTCGTGAACCTCTATGGCTTTTTCGTAGTTTCCAGTTTTATCAAACACCATACCAAGACTGTTTAAAGACGCAGCGACATCCACGTGATTTGGACCTAACGACTTTTTTTGAATTTCCAGAGCTTTTTCGTGAACCTCTAGAGCTTTGTTTTATTTTCCAGTTTTTTCAAGTACATTACCAAGATTGTTTAAAGACGCAGCGACATAAACGTGATTTGGACATAACGATTGTTTTCGAATCGCTAGAGCATTTTCGTAAAACTCTATTGCTTTGTCGTATTTTCCAGTTCCATAAAACACCAAACCCAGATTTTTTAAAGACCCAGCAATATCAACATGATTTGGATCTAAAGATTGTTTTTGAATTTTCAGAGCTTTTTCGTGATGATTTTTAGCTTTGCTATACTTCCCGGTGTCATAGTATAAAAGACCGAGAATATTAAAATACCAAGATTTGTCATAACTAGATTCTTCGGATTTAAATTTATCCAACAGTTCAAAAGCAAGATCGTATTTTCCAAAATGTCTTAATCTTTCGACAAAATATTGGAAAACTTGTAAAGTATTCATGTTGATTTTTGTCTTGTTGGTCTTTAATAATTGAGGAATTTTTTCAAGATGTGGCATCAATTTGCTTTCGTCGTTTCTCTTTAAGCATGTAAAGTGCTTGAGCTTTTTTCTTAACGTATGGTTGAAGAGAAGGCAAATGGCATTCATGCTCCAATTTATGTTCTTCATTTGAATGTTCAGATTGATAAACAATAATTGCCCCTATGAACAATGTGTTTAGGCGACGCTTTACTAGAAAACTCCTCAACGTCTTCAGGACAATTAACGTCTACTGAACTGGTGTCACAAGGCTCAAATGACGATGACCAACCACTAGCCATACCTAACATGTTACCACCAGAGATCTTTCTTGGGTAGATCAAGGTTTTAGGAACTTCAAACAAGGGTTGTGTTGAGCTGACACCTAAAATAGAACAAATATGGATACATGATGAAGTGGAGAACAAGAATAGAGGTTATAGAAGACACAATACGTATAGTCATTGGTGTTTCACAGGGGTATACATTACAGGATAACAATGGATCGAATTAGACTAAGCAACTAGGTACATTTAAGCAATCCATCTTTCCGATGGTAAACACACGTGTCAAAAAAACGTGATCAAATTACAAAATTCGTGCAATCAAATGGTCGGACATAGTATTGTTTTCGTAGAAGAGAGCCAATAAAATAAAAAGATTCTCTTCGGGCATTTGTAAATATTATTTTAGAAATACAGATCGAATAATTATAAAGGCAGAAGGTGTAAGAGTGAATAAAAACCATTTTCCGTCAAATCAAAGGAAAGCTTGAATATGACATGCAATATACAGGCATTAAGTTATAGAGAAAAATAAAAACATTTTAACGTTGTCACGGATATTACGAGTGCCGTAACAAAGTGTTGAAGAGTTTCATATGCATTTGTCAAAACTAGATTAAGAAGACAAAGAGCATTCCAAAAATATATGATTGAAAACTTGCTCAGCGCATTTACAAGCACCAATTTCAGAGCTCGCTCTGTCACAAATTAATTGAGAATCTGAGCATGTGTTGTTAACACCACAAACTCTCCAAGCTCATGGTAACGACCAACTGGATGTACTAGTACCGATTTTGGAGTAATTAGCTCGCTCAGTCACAAGTTTTAACGAAAATCATCTGCGCATGCGCAGTCTGCTTGAGCATGCGCAATAAACTTGACGAGATACACAAGTTTATAGTCGTCGCAACGACGAACTGCATGTACAAGCACCAATTTTGAAGTAAATAGCATGCTTAGTAACAATTTAATAGAGAAATCATCTGTGCATGCGCGCGAGCATGCGCAGTCCACTCGAGTAGTTGTTCATAGTCATGACAACGATCAACTATACGTATTTGTACTACATTTGTGTCAATTAACTCACTTAGTCGCAAATTATCGAAGAAATCATCTGCGCATGCGCAGTAATAATAACAATCATCCCACAACTTTCGTACGCCTTAAAATTTTGCTATATATATATAAGGCTAAAACTTCATATAGTAGATGTCAACTAGCAGTGGAAGCTGGGTGCAATATAGTATGCAGTGGCTTAGGGGCCCACACTTAGGAGGTGGCGACCGCACTCTCCCTGCGTATCCTGAGCAAAGCCTATCGCAAGTGATCTCAGGGTCTGATGGGCGGAAGCTTGCTATTGACATCTCTCAAGTAGGATAGCGTGGAGGGGCCGAAATCTCTAACCGAAACGTTAACATGCGGCGTTCTAGTGCCTTGAGCTTAAGGAGGTATCAGGAAGCATGGACCGAAAACGGGGTTTTTTTGCTTTCGAATTTTGTCTTTTTGTTTTCCTCCCATAAAAAAACCAAGCAATGTTTCAATTAACTTCTTATGACCCTGTCTTTATGTGACAATTATAATTAAAGACAACCTTAAAAATGTTTTATACCATTTTTATCGCTTTATATCTTTCTGATTTAACTCTTCCATTTACTGTTTCTCATGTATCACGAGCAAACCATCCATATGCTTCATGGCAAACAAACAAGGATTATGTGGTTCTCTTAGTTAACATGCGACGCTCTAGTGCTCAACTATCACGGGTATCGGGAGGCACGGACCGAAAACGGGATTTTTTTGTTTTCAAAATTTGTCTTTTTCTTTACAAGAATTCTTCTCATTAAAGAAACTAGAACGTCCAAGGATACTTCAAAGGTTCAAACAATTTCTGCCTTTTTGAATTAAAATTTAAACAAACTCTAAGCATGTTTATACGTTCTTACTTTTTACAATGTAACTTTCTCATAGCTCTCTCGTGATGAACGCGAGCCTCCTTATACAATATGACTCTTTCATCATGAACGAAAGCATCCATGGGCTTCATGGAAAAAAGGGATTATGTGCTTTGTTATAATAGTTTCTACAAAGATAAGATTTAATAAGCTAAGATATTTGAAAATAAATATATTTGAGTTATTATGGAAATAACAAGTCGAGAATTGATTGATCATACCCATTCCAATTGGTCTGGAACAACCATTACATTTATAATTTTGGCCATCTAACCCTTTTTCCCGGGCTATATTGTTAATTAACGACAGTATCTTCATACGTCGTTCTTGCTGAACATCTTCAGGTGAAGTAGGATTACCAATAATCTATTAAGTATAAAAACATAATTTATCCATAGAATTATAGCAAAGTTACGATGGACAGATAAGTGTTATTAAAGCTACAAAACTTAAATTCAATATATCGTATAAAGTACCACAAATCCCGAGGATTCCTCGTATCGAAAGGATTCTAAACTAAAGATGAAAATTAAGATGAGAAATTTTGAAGAATTGAAACTACAGAGTTTTTCAACAAAAAAAATGTTAAAAATACCTGTACTACCACTAGATTCTTCAATGTATATGCTCTAAAATAATAGTCATTAAAACGACAATTTCAAAAAACATAAAAAACTAAGCATTTGTAACATTGGAGAAAGATACAGGATGAACATGAAACCTTCTCAGAAGACGATGGAACGAGACCATAAATATTTGATATGAACTTCTTGCTAACAACGTTCGCGTAATCCGTTAGCATACCATGAAAACTAACTTCTGGTTTGGGCGACGCTTTACTAGCAACCTCTTCAACGTCTTCAGGACAATTAACGTCAACTGAACTGGTGTCACAAGGCTCAAATGACGATGATCAATCACTAGCCATACCTAACATGTTACCACCAGAGATCTTTCTTGAGTAGATCAAGTATTTAGGAACTTCAAACAAGGGTTGTGTTGAGCTGATACCTAAAATAGAACAAATATGGATACATGATGAAGTGGAGAACAAGAATAGAGGTTATAGAAGACACAATACGTATGGTCATTGGTGTTTCACAGGGGTATACATTACAGGATAACAATGGATCGAATTAGACTAAGCAACTAGGTAAATTTAAGCAATCCATCTTTCCGATGGTAAACACACGTGTCAAAAAACGAGATCAAATTAGAAAATGCGTACAATCAAATGGTCGGACATAGTATTGTTTTCGTAGAAGAGAGCCAATAAAATAAAAAGATTCTCTTCGGGCATTTGTAAATATTATTTTAGAAATACAGATCGAATAATTATAAAGGCAGAAGGTGTAAGAGTGAATAAAAACCATTTTCCGTCAAATCAAAGGAAAGCTTGAATATGACATGCAATATACAAGCATTAAGTTATAGAGAAAAATAAAAAAACATTTTTAACGTTGTCACGGATAATACGAGTGCCGTAACAAAGTGTTGATGAGTTTCATATGCATTTGTCAAAACTAGATTAAGAAGACATAGTGCATTCCAAAAATATTTGATTGAAAACTTGCTCATCGCATTTACAAGCACCAATTTCAGAGCTCGCTCTGTCACAAATTAATTGAGAATCTGAGCATGTGTTGTTAACACCACAAACTCTCTAAGCTCATGGTAACGACCAACTGGATGTACTAGTACCGATTTTAAAGTAATTAGCTCGCTCAGTCACAAGTTTTAACGAAAATCATCTGCGCATGCGCATTCTGCTTGAGCATGCGCAATAAACTTGACGAGATACACAAGTTCATGGTCGTGGCAACGACGAACTGCATCTACTAGCACCAATTTTGAAGTAAATAGCATGCTTAGTAACAATTTAATAGAGAAATCATCTGCGCATGTGCTCGAGCATGCGCAGTCCACTCGAGTAGTTGTTCAAAGTCATGACAACGACCAACTATACGTATTTGCACTACATTTGTGTCAACTAACTCACTTAGTCGCAAATTATCGAAGAAATCATCTGCGCATGCGCAGTTACGATAACAATCATCCCACAACTTTCGTACGCCTTAAAATTTTGCTATATATAAATAAAGCTAAAACTTCATATAATAGATGTCAACTAGCAGTGGAAGCTGGGTGCGATATAGTATGCAGTGTCTTAGGGGCCCAAACTTCGGTGGCGACCGCACTCTCCCTGCGTATCTTGAGCAAAGCCTATCGCAGTTGATCTCAGGGTCTGATGGGCGGAAGCTTGCTATTGGCATCTCTCAAGTAGGATAGCGTGGAGGGGCCGAAATCTCTAACCGAAACGTTAACATGCGGCGTTCTAGTGCCTTGAGCTTAAGGAGGTATCGGGAAGCATGGACCGAAAACGGGTTTTTTTTGCTTTCGAATTTTGTCTATTTGTTTTCCTCTCATAAAAAAACCAAGCAACGTTTCAATTAACTTCTTATGACCCTGTCTTTATGTGACAATTATAATTAAAGACAACCTTAAAAATGTTTTATACCATTTTTATCGGTTTATATCTTTCGGATTTAACTCTCCCATTAAATGTTTCTCATGTATCACGAGCAAACCATCCATATGCTTCATGGCAAACAAACAAGGATTATGTGGTTCTCTTAGTTAACATGCGACGCTCTAGTGCCCAACTATCACGGGTATAGGGAGGCACGGACCGAAAACGGGATTTTTTTGTTTTCAAAATTTGTCTTTTTCTTTACAAGAATTCTTCTCATTAAAGAAACTAGAACGTCCAAGGATACTTCAAAGGTTCAAACAATTTCTGCCTTTTTGAATTAAAATTTAAACAAACTCTAAGCATGTTTATACGATTTTACTTTTTACCTTTTACAATGTAACTTTCTCATAGCTCTCTCGTGATGAACGCTAGCCTCCTTATACAATATGACTCTTTCATCATGAACGAAAGCATCCATGGGCTTCATGGAAAAAAGGGATTATGTGCTTTGTTATAATAGTTTCTACAAAGAAACTATTATAACAAAGCACATAATCCCTTGTCAGCATGTGTTGGCTTGCGATAAACTGTTGTTCGCAGTTTTTGATTGTCATGTTTTACCAAACAGTCGAGAAAAGGAACCGTTTTCTTCAACATCTTTGGTAAATTGTATTTGGCTGTTGTGTTTGTTGATGTGAGTGTGAAAGTCATCAATCTCGTCTGCATGTAGTGCTGTGATTGTGTCATCTACGTAGCGAAACCAAAAAGGTAGTGCATGTTTGTAAGTCGTGAGCGCCCGTTCCTCTATAGATTGCATTACAATTTCAGCAACTACAACAGAAACGGGTGAGCCCATTGCTGTTCCATGTAATTGTTTGTAGTGTGTACCTTTGTACTGGAAGTAAGTGGAGGTAAGGCAGAGCTCCAGTAGCTCCATAATGTCTTCTGTCGGTAATGGCAGTACGTCCGTGGTGTTTGTAATGAGGAATTTTGTACAAGTAAGTGTCAGATTAAGTGGAATACTGGTGAACAGTGATTTCACATCAAAAGACACTAGTATATAGTTGTCCGGTATTTGTACAGTGCTCAGTTTTTTAATGAAAGTTTCAGTGGATTGCAGCTTGTGTTTGGATTTGTTTGTAAGTGGTTGCAGTATGTCAGTCAAGTACTTTGAGAGTTCGTAAGTAGGCGAACCACAGAATGATACAATTGGTCGCATGGGTATTTGTGGTTTGTGAAGTTTTGGTAGTCCGTATAGTCTGGGTGGTCGTGGTACTGAACATCTAAGTCGATAGTAAATACGTTCAGATATAATGTTAGATTTTCTCATCGAGAAGATCTTGCTGTTTAGTTTGCGTACTAGTGATGGTGTTGGGTCTCGTTTTGTTGAAGTAATCATTCCTGTTCATGACCACAGTCACGCGTCCTTTGTCTGCTGGTAAAATGACGATGTTGTTGTCGTGTTTTAGTCGTTTGAGTGCTTGTTGTTCGTCCTTTGTCAAGTTGTTGTCACGTATAGAGGACGATTTTAAAGTGGAGGCTATCCTGCTTCTGATCTCGTCTTTGGTTGTCTCTGACAAGTCTCTTTGATACGCTATTTCACATTTCCTGTACACACAATACAATGACGTAAGACCCAGATAACAAATACGGCTAACCTGACGTTTACTCCTCATTTGACTCTGAAGATGACTACCGCTAAGGTTGTCGAAACGTCGTCAGTCAAAACAACAACAAAAACAGTCCTTCTCAGGACTATACCAACCTGGACGATCTACATTTACAAACATTAAGTTCTAAATCTATAAATTTAAAACGATGTATCATAACCTTCTAAAGGTTGATGACACTACGTAATATTGAGTTGTTGCTTTTCACCCAAATACTAAATTTCAAATCCAAAATATACTGAATAGAACAAGCAATTTACAAATTTCTCCATTTTGGAAGACAAAACTGAAAAGCAGAGAAAGCATTGATTTGAAAATACAAATGAAGTAAATTTTCCTCGAGCTTACCATTGCCATTGTCAATTTGCTCATTAAGTCTTTTCATCTGATTTTTCAGCATTTTTACCCTCTCTTTGAGTTCCAAGGCTTCTTTTTTATACTTGCATTTATCATTGCAAAGTGCACTACCTTCATCTGACTGACTCTCCTAAATAATCAACAAGAACTTAGGCAATAGTTCTTAAATACAAACATTGTACAGTGCAATATTTAACAATATTTTCCTTTCAGTACAAACTATTAAAGTGTACTTTACTAACAACAAGTACAATATATTATAATGTAAATCTCAATTTTTTAATTTCATAAGCCACACTGATTGAAAATTCTTTTGTATGATTGCCCTATACAAGCCTTACACTGTACAATGTTTGTATTTTAAAAGATTTTTCCCTTACAAACAAGAAATGAATTTCAAATTAACAGCATTTTATGACTAACGGGAACATATCATACAGTATTAACTTTTTTAGCATTTAACCAAACAACATCCAAATTTTATTCTGAAAAATTACCGTAATTCCCTAGCATTCCTCATTAAAAATAAAATTGCATAATTTAGAGATAAGAATAATTGGTGTTATCATTGTGTATAGTACATACCTTGGTTAATCACTCTTTTATAAGTGAAGCAAAACTGGCTGAGCAGCAAGCCTCTGTTTTCTTTGCCCTGGATGCCTTTAGCTTTTTAGGAATACTGTGCTCCTGCTGGTAACAAGAACAACAATACAAAATTTTATACATGTTGTTTGAAAAGTTTGTTATTAGCTACTACTTCTCATTTAAATTCTTAGGCTCATAGCCTTGTTCAGCAATGCAGACCTTCGAACATAGAATTAGTAGCTAATAACATTTGAATCATGAATACCATATGGAGTACTTAACAAATTTCCATGAATGCATCATCACATTAGTGACATGAGTGTTAACTATAGATGATGGCAGCAATAATTGATAAACATGCAGTAAACACCATTTAAACAAAATGTGGTCAATGTAATATTTCGGGAAACTCACCACATCATCTGATTCACTATCACCTTCAATTGTAAACTTTGCTTTGTGAATTCTTTTGCGACACCCTTTGCCAGTATTTATAGAGAACGTTTCTTCTTTTCTCATTGTCTTGAGCAAATAATCTTTACTATCTGTTTATACAAAATAATGGATGACTATTTAACAACTATTAAAAAATAATAATTTTCAATTGGAAGCAGTAGCATGCCTGAAATTATAAGGAAACGACCTTATGCAAAGTTTGGCTTAATGTATTACTACATGTATTTAAGAGTAAACAAGTTAAAATCTGGGAAATAGACACATCCTTATTGTTAGTATTGTAATTGAACTATTGCTATGTAGAAGAAAGAACAACATTTGAGCAAAGGCTTTTTATCAGAAAGTATTTCCCTCCTAAAAAAGCAGTAAGTTGAATTGATAGCAGCAACCTTTATATCACTACCGTGAAAT